CGGCATTATAATTTCCATTATTTTTTTACTAAATTTTAAAGACTATTTTTAGATTTTGCTTGTGTCTTCTTCATGTAAAACATAATAATTATACATATGCAAAATAATAATAAAAAGAATGATTATATTCCTTACTATTTCCTAAAAATAGTAATGGATATAATCTAACTGTAACAGCGTTATAAATAATATTGTTATTTCCTAATCCTGGTTAATATACATATATATGTATATAAGTTTTATAAAATATTTTTTCTGTAAAATTTTATAAAATATTTTATTAAAAATTATCTTTATTAATTTATTGTGAGAAGATCAATAAATGTCGTGAGAAGATTTATAAATGTGTTTTCTAATTATAAATATATTTTAGTTTTAAATTTGATCTCTGTTTTGTTTTCTAATTTATTATATCCTTGTTATGTCTTTTTTACTTTTTCTATTTCAGCCAAACGTTCCGCCAGATATTTATCCTCATTGTCCTATTCAAGATCTTAAGACAGGTGTGAGGGGATCTTGTTCTACATATTACACAAGAAAGGATATCAAAGATGATACAAAGGATGCAAGTTTGGACGAAGTAACGGAAAAGTATGGTCTAAGTCTGGTTATTGTAGCCTCTCAGCCAGTCAGAACACAAGCTTTAATGAGTGCCAATGTCAGTCCAACATTGGAACTGACAATTATGCATTATTGCTTCTTGGAGAGAGTAGGCAGAGCTCGCTATCATGGCGAAGTTACTCAAGGCAAACTCAGCTTGGCTGCGCTCAAAGAGGATCCAAAGACTTTGTTTTATCATCGAAAATTTTTGCTCCAGCATAAGTTAATTACAAAACAGGTCCACCATCAGAAGAGTGCCGGCCATTGCGGCAGTGGCAGTCTCTTGCATCTGACGCGTTTCTACGTAGAACGAAAACCAAAGATGCTGTACCTGGCGGAACAGGTAATCGATATTTTGCGATCCAAGGAAAACGGCGTAGCTGAATATGATGAAATCAAGAAAAAGCTTGGAATCGAGAATTCTATCAAAAAATTATTTAAAACTTCCTTCTTTCAAAAAATCGTGAAGACGGATATCTGCGTGCCATATAGAACTTTGTATCCTAACGCAGAACCAAACGAGTGGCGACAAAAACAGGATCCATCGAAGGAGAAAAAAATTAGGGTTGTACAGGTGTTGTATCCGGATGTCGATATTGCTGATATATGGAATAAAGATGAGAAGGAAGACGATGAATATATCGATGAAATAGATACTTCTAATCATAAATTGAACGTTCCTTATTTGAAGCAAGCAAACAATATTGTTGAAGCTAATCAAGTAGAAGGTGTATCTCAAGGTTAGTGATAAATTTTACATTCTTGCAATTGTTTTAGAATTTTTTTCCAGAATGTTATTTTAAAACATTAATATTTAAATTATAGTGTAGTATTACAAAATTAATATATTTGTGTTATTCATCTTTTAAATCATAAGCGAGCAAAAATTAAAAAATTTGAATAATAATTTCCAGCTAAATTGGGAAAGGATATGGGTTTGACCAAACTACAAGCTAGATCATTTCTGAGGAATTTGGTAAAGGCGCGTATTACTGCAACATACATGAATGACATGGGTCGGCAGAGAATCACAAAATATGTATCGAAGAAATTCGAAAAAAATAGTAAGATGAGTAAGCAATTTAATAAAGAAATGCATCGAATTAAAGAGCTTACTAAAACAATAACCAATAAAAACGAAGAAAATCTGAAGAACGAAACGATTTCACAAGCAGAAAATCAGAAACATTCTATGGAACACGAAAACGATCAGATAAATAAAAAATCTTGTTCGGATCATTACGTTGATAAAACTGATATTGATGCACTGGTTATCGATGAAAATAAAGATGAAGAAAAAGATAAATTTATAGACGCAAATTGTGCTAGAAAGAAAACAGAATTGAAGAATTTGTTTTACATTGTCAACAGAATTTTGCATAAGTATCAATTATTAAAATTTCGATCTAAATACAAGTGCACTACATCGCGGTTTTCATTAACTAAGATAAAGAATTCTGATACTAACGTAAAAGAGCAACATGTGAAACCTAACGATTCATTAACATCTATGGAACAAATTGCTAATGATGCCAAAGCCACATCATTTTATAATAATATAAAAACAAATTTGATAATGCAAAAGCCTGTTTGTACTGGAAAAGTTAGCGAAGTCTTTGGTTTTATGGAAGTTTTTCAAAACAAGAAGAGAAATAACTCGTCTAATATTACATATAGGTTTGTATAAAATATTACATTTATTGGTATAAGTAAGTTACAAATAAAAAAAACTATATCGATATTGTTAGAAACAATTATTTTAAAATCCATTTATATAAGTTAAACATACAAAGATACATACACACACACACACACACACACACACACACACACATACACACACACACACACACACACATCTCCTATCTATCACATGTCTACAAATTTATATATTTTTTATTTTGTCTATATAGAATTTATATTTTTATAATTTTAGATATATTTTTTGTTTTTTTAGTAAATCTTAATTTTTTTCAGTTTTTAGATTCTTTTATTGTAGATATAATTTGTTAGATTTTCTATTCTTCTATTTAGATTGCTGAGACGTGCCAACATGATAATCGAGGCAGTGAAAGAACACCAAGTGATCGACGATACAGCGAAACTCATGAAGATGATCTGCGAAGAGGAAGACAAAGAGGGTTACGATGTAAAAATCGACAAAAAATCTCTCATCAGACTGCTGCAAAAACTCGCCAAGGATAATCTGGTGAAGAATATTAAGTTGACTTTAAGCGCAAACGGTCGCGAAAAAAACTTGACTTTTATTTGCGATCCTAACATTGATACCGATCATACCGTGATTAAGTCAGCCGTCGAGCAGGCGAAAGTCAAATTTTGTTTGTTAGCGTCTCAGAGGGGGAAAATGCTTATGAAGAAAATGACGGATAAGCAAGACAAGCTGTTGGATTCTAAGGAACAATTGCAAGAGCTAAACAAGACGGCAGCTACATTACCCTCCGGAAACTGCAAGTACGATCCCAAAGCTGGCAAATATTATGGTCTCTGTCCGAAATTTATTAGAATGCGAACGATGCACATTCTGCTTTTCTATTTGGTCTACGATCATCCTGGCAATCCAAGTGAATCTCAGGAAAAGCAAATAGAGATTCTCAGGTCTAATGGTTACGAAATTGATGACGATCTCATTCAGGAATTTAGCACTATTTATTGTACTGAAATAAATTGGAAGATGTTCGTTCCACCCTTGCCCAAACATAACGGATGGCCTGAGGGTTGGGCATTGATGTGTGACGTTCTTTTAGGGATGCCCCTGTCAATTTTTGCCAAAGTACATAACATCAATTTTATGATTCCGGACTTGGAGCACTATTTAAATCATCCAATCAGAAAACATTACCTCGTGAAGAATCTTCCAGTGAGTTTGATCAAAAAGTTAAATATAAGTTTAAATCTTTGAAAATTGAGAATTTGAAGGCAAGCTGTATCAATGCCATTTTAATAGTGTGAGTTTATTTGTTAATAATACTTATTTTCAACAATTCTTTCTAGGTTGCTATACGCAATACTCTTTTGCATGCGAGGAAATATATATTCAATATCCACGATACAATAACTAGATTGGGCTACATTGGTCTAGTGCAGTTTGGTCCGCAGCGGCTAAAAGACAAAGATCAAGTATTTATCTACATGAACCGGCGCACAGAATTGATGGACACAACCTCTTCAGCGGCAGGCTATCACAAAATCGAGGATAAAACATATCCGGTGACTAAATATTTCTTCGATCGCACACAGGTATTGGAAATTAGGTATTAAAAATAGTTTTGAAAATTATATATATTTATTTAAAGAATCGAGATTATTTAAACAAAATAAACAAAAAATATTTATTAGATATTATTTATACATTTTTGAGATCAATTTAACAATTTCGAGAGAAAAAAGTAATATCTCATTACGATATTTCTTTTCGCAGGTCGTTGAAACATACTGGTGTGATATGTGGTCTATTTGTGTTAATACACATCTTGGTGGCAGATTGGTTGTACATGGCAAGGATATTTTACTTGAAGATTTGAGTAAAAAAACTGCTATGATAGAGGCGATTGCAGCACACACGCCTAAAGAAGCTGCGGAAAGAGATACCGGTGCGGTTCCCGGAGATCGTAAAGGAGCGGCTGGTATCGATTCTGCTTTCTTTGCACATTTGAAACGTAATTGGAACTGGTCGAACAACTATTATGTACATCAGGTAAAAAATAAAAAAATCATATATGCTAGTTGCTTTGTAAAAATGAAATTGAACATCTTTGTATTCTACACATTTTAAATGGTTATATGATTACATAAATGATTACATTACATTCTTTAGACTATTGCTATATTTACACAAAAGGCAATTTATAATAAATGTTTTTATATTAACAGATATCTTTGCTCAGAGTATAAATTTTTAAATGTATAAATCTATCCGATTAATTTATTCGTCAATGTGCCTTTATCAAATTTTATATTATAGAATATATTAATGTTATTTATTGAATGTTTTTTTATAAATCATCAGGCCAGGAATCAGAGAAAATCCAGTACAGGTCAGCGAGATCTACATCTATCGAAAATTCAAGTAAAACCAGTCAAATTTACAGAATATGATGGTCTGAAGAAGGTCTCGGGACCATTGCCGCCGCCTGTTGTCAACGCATCTGAATTGCGGAAGAAAATGCGCGATCAACTCAACATTACTGGACGAAAAAACGAGGCCTTACCGTCGCATCAATCTAGCAAACAGAAATCTTTCGTACGACGCGTAATGCCACGGAAGCAAAGCGTACGGAAACTCAAATATGACGAGGACGACTATCGTGCGATGCAGCGAATGAACAAATTGCGAGTGGAGTGGGAACCACATGAAGACAACATTTTATTAGTGTGTAAGGTAGCGACGACCTATCTGTCACCGAATCCACGCAAGCAGATCGTCGGCTTTACAGCAGTGCGGGATGTATTGCGTATGTTTTCCTGTAATTCGCAAAATAAGACATCGCGCGCTTGTCAGCGTCGTTTAATGTACATGCTGCGACAGTCACGCACGATGAACAGCGTCGCGCTGGGCGTCGAGGAGATCAAGCAGGACCCATACATCGACAGACGATACGGCGACGTGACGAGGAGGCTGAAGAGCGAGTGTGCAAGCTCAGCGGAATATGAGAAGCGAGCGACGGAGATTTTCAAGGAACTCGTTGACTATATTATTAAGAAATATTATGATATCGCCGAAATCAAGCCACAAAAACATATGATGATGCCAAAAACCGTTCAGGCATTTAATCTCCTCTTCGAAGTAGTCTATCCGACGAAGCCACATCATAATCAAGGTTTCACGAAGGATGTACAAAGTCTGAATGACATTCATTCAGCAACTCTCAATTCTGTTATTCATAGTTCTATGTGTTGTGGAAAGGATAGGCGTTCTTGGGCTTATCAGCTTTTCATGGTATGATTAATCAATGTATTAAATATTCTATTTATGAAACATAATGCTTTAAAGCTGATTTATCTTGAAAATTAAATTATAATTAAATCTTTATATATTTGTATAATATATTTGATAATAGAAAACCGACATTTAATTTTTCTTCAGTTTAACAAACATTATGTAATAAAAAATTCTCTCTTTTTATTTTTATTTTTTTTATATCATTTATTTTTAGAATTTATTTAATACATTTGCGACTCATATAACATAATATATTAATGTAGATTTTATATTATTGCTTAGTTTTTCAAATTTAATTGTTGCTACAAAAAATTTTGGATTTTGGTATTTATTAATAGCTCTTTTTTGTTAAAGGTCTACCAGAATTATTCAGAAACTCTTCTAAAACAAGCAATGAATAAGATCAGATCGGACCAGATGGTGACTATAAAAAAGCCCCACTTAGCAGCTATTAAAAAACATGGCAATTACATGCCAATGAGTAGCTCGCAGTATCAATTAAGTATCAACTATATGTATAAGTTCCAGACCAAATGGAATTACGAAGTCTTTAAAGAATCTTACGATGCTTTTATGAAATTATTGGAATGGTATTCTGAGCATAAAAATATCGATGTCTCCCAGGAACAAGAACCAATATTTAATGGTATTGAAATCCCAGTTTCCAGCGGTATTGTTACTGTAATGCATGATCTTTTAGCACGCGGTCAAATTGATTTTGATATTGAGATGCCGGATCAAATCATTATGTTAGATGCGAGACATCAAGGCAAAGATGAGACTTATTTTAGGATTGCTCAAAGATATCAAGATATTTTGACAAGACTTTATCGCTTTAAGTATGGGAACATTAATGCTCACAATGCCGGAATTTCTGAACTTGAAACGGAAACTTTGTATGAAATACAGGAAGATTCTTTGAAAAGGAAGAAATCTGTTGAAAATGACGATCCTGAAGAATCGATGTCAAAGATTTTTAAGACCGAGGAACATGAAGAAATTCAAAAAGAAATATCTCGGCAAAATAAAGCTACAGCGGAGATTCGACCATTCGACGAAAGTGTTAAACCTGATGAGATGAATTTGAAGGATCATTCCTCCGAGCAGAGTGGGAAGAAAGTTCGTACAAATCGTTTATCAAGAAAAAGATCTGCCAACTTTGAAGAGGATTCTACGGATTGCGAAGAAGAATGCTTGAAAAGAGCAAGATTAAACTCTGAAGATTCGATGGATCTCGAGGATATTGATGAGAATGAAGAATTAAAGATTTTTGAAGAGGACGAAGATGAAAACATTGATAAAACACTTACGGATTCCTCCAAATCTCTCGAAACAATAAATGAATTAAAAGAACAGGTGGAGGAAGAAGGTATTATATTTTTGTAAATATGTGATAGAAAGAATTTTTATTCTTCTAAGTATTTTTCTAATTATCTCTTATTGTACAACATTGAATTATATTAAATGTTGTCTCAAATTATCAAATGTTAACTAAAAATTATAAATTTGTTATTTTAGATGCTTGAGTCTGAATATTTTTATTTATTTTTATAATTTTCAGTATTCAGTATTCCCAAATAAGTCAACTGATTTACTACATTTTGTAATTTCCAATCAAACTTCATACTTTCTCTAAAATGCTGTAAATGAATTGTTGTTTTAATTATAGCTTCTTCGATGAAACCGGACAGTTTTACCGATATGACTTCGGTTCCTCGACGTGTCAGTGAGATTATTAAAAATATGTTACCTGAGACGAGCTATTTTAATTCTTACAAGCTCAAGAATACAAACGATGTTCAGACGAAGTCCACTAGAATAGACATGTTGAGGATGAGGAAAGAGCTAAAGGATCTCACGATAGCCGACAACTATCAACACGCACACGAATACTTCGTTGTTAATAATTTTAAGATGTTCTATAACTTAGACATGACATCTCTGTCGGCGGCATCGATAAGCGATATTGAGAATTTTAAAGGTCATTTGGTGCCCAAGGAATTAATACCCCTAAAACTCGAGGTTGTAAATGATTTTCTTGATGAGATAAATCGGACTGCAATTATTCCAAAGAACGGTATCTCTTACGCAAAGTATAAAAATGAGGCTGTGATGAAAAAGGAAACAATCGACTGGAAACATGTCGACGCGGTGTATGAATTTGTCCAAGAGAAGAAAGAAATAGGCGCCTGCCCACAAGAATTGCTAGTAATTTATCATTATGAAAAAAAAATTTTTTATTGTCTTTTATCTTTTTATTTTATTTATTTTATCTTTTAGCAATTAATATTTTTCGCATTTTAAATCAGAAATTTTTCTAAAAACATTGAATATTTCTAACTTATTTTTTTATAACATTGTTTTTTCTTTTTTATCTAGGATAGATTCTTCGAGGAGCAAGGAGTGGATTTGTACAAGATCGTTTCGTTTTTAATAGATAATCATATATTTGTACGCTCCGGCGTTATCAAACCGCGCTTTATTCATCATCGTTTCGCCGATTCCTGGCTAATTCATTCCTACAAAATATATCGTCTTGAACAAGAAGCTGCAGTGCCGTTCAGGGACAGTATATACGCCACAATGCAAAGACAAACTGAAACGAACGTTGATACGGAAGAAAATACAAATGTCCATACCAAAGAAGATGAGAATAAAAACCGTAATATTGCTATACTCATTTTATTTTATATGTTTTATTGAATTTTTATCTCATATTTATAAACAAGCATAAATTTAATTTTTGATAAATATTGTAAGATATATATTTCGATATTACGAAATTTTATGTCATGACATTGAGAAATTTTATATATATATATATATATATTTTATATATATATATATATATAATAAAGTAAGGACTATTATTTTTAATATTATTTAATCGCTACTTTATCAGCCTCGTTGTTTATTATTTTACTATTCAGCAATTATTTTTTCATATTACAGTTTAAAATAAAATATACAGAATTAAATCTTTAAATGTATTGAATTGTGAAATAATTATTTATCTATAGTGACTTCTTAAAAATTTTAATAATTAAACACATTGCAGATGAAGCAGATAATGCAATACCATCAACGTCATCAGGAACGCAAGGAGATAAGAAAGAGTAAGAAAGATGAAAAAGTGGACAATGATTTAAATAACGACGAAGATGAGAAAAAGGAAGATAATGAAATCAATGAGGAAAATGATACACGTACAAGAAGAAGAAAGCAGAAAACATGTTTACTTCCACAAAAAGATGTGTACAAATCCGCACAGCAATTGGATTTTACGTATGTATCAGGAAAGAATAGTGAGAAAAATTATCATATAACTTCCAAAGTGATACTGATGATTTATTTCTTTTTTAGAACGGCCGAAGAAGTAAAAGTCGCCATAAAGCCATGGATACGTATAGACGGTGTGCTGAATCGCAAAGTCTTAGATCGAATGTTAGGTGCGGTTTTGAGTTACTGTTTGCTTCATCCTGGGCTCACGATGGCAAAGGCGCAAAGTAAATTTGTGCCTGCCTTACAACCATTCCATACACGTGAATTGCTCGAGGTTCATTTCATTCCTCTATAAATTTATAAATTAATATTTTTTAACTTTTGAACGATAATACTTTTCTCTTATTTTGTTAGATTTTATATTGAATAAATATTGTAAAATTTTTATACATAGGAAAAAATATTATGGAAACTTATTTTTTAACATTATCTCTTTTTAATATTATTTCTAATGCAAGTAGTTTATATAGTTTCAGTAAAAGTAACTTTTTTTGCAGATGCTGATTAAATTGGGATGTTTAGAGAGTAAGCTCTTGAAGAAAACGCGTGTTACTTTGTTTTCTCCACCGCCTGCGATGAACATCAGCGATCTAAGTATGTGTAATATTTTTTTTATCTGATATATTATCTTGTTAATATTTTTTTTGCTTTTAGATACGGATGCCGTTGTTTGGACTGCCGAAGATGAAATAGTACTTGAGCCTACTACAGATGCTACATTAAAGTTTAGTATATTTTTAAGTACGAGAACGTACAAGACAGATTTTATGCCATAATTGTGTTACTTTGTTATATGTACATATAATAGCATAGATAAAAATTTACTAGTCACTCAGTGTATATAGTTTTTTG